ATTTTGCTCCTGCATCTTGCGACTGAGCCTGGTGACTGTGGCTCTACATGGGGGACTCAAGGAAACGGGGCACAACAGTGTATTTCATATTTTTTTTTTAAAGGAAAGGAAAATCCTTTAGGAAGTACTCTTCAGATCAAAAAATGAGGTAATTCTTGGTTTTTCACAACTCCTCTAAAATGTTCAGGTCTTCAGTTTCTGTTTTCTTTAATGCTGCCTTAGATGCTGATAGCAGAATAAATGAGAATTGGCTGGTTCTCAAAGCTCTTACAGAGAAGGGTTGGGACAGGTATGGCACTGTCACCAAGCAGGGGCCCTGTCCATACTGTGGCATGTGTGTGGGATTCGAATGCCTCCTCCTCCTACTTACTCTCCACAGTAAGAAGCCCAGATAATCCACAGGCTTCAGTTACGAATACCCAAAAATCTGGTAATGTTTGAAAAGAAAAAGCAAGGGAAAAAATGGACTTTAGGTGTAATTTATAGCATAGCGCAGGGCAGCAGTGCTTCACACACAGTCATCACTTGGTAGCACTGTGGTCGCTTTTTCAGTTAACTTTCTTCAGTTTCAAAATAAAACCCGATAGGTAGTACAATGGCAATTTGTAGAAATAGATTTGTAATATTTCACATAAAGAATAAAATAACTTTTATAAGCAAATGAAGTTATGTACACTGAAGGAATTGACGGATTTGGGAAGCATTTTCTATTTTTCCAAACGTTTCTGTTATTTCAAATGTTTATTGCTATGTTCTAAATATTGGTGTAATTTTAAGCTTCAGTTTATGCTGTGGGCATTAAGCATATTCCGATTTTATTAAGAACATTTTTGTCTCTATTTTAATTGACCTTTTTTATTTATTAGAGAAAGCAGTCCATGGCCAATATGGAAAATCAGAAAATTTAGACAAGCAAAACTAAAATATAACACATTTCCATCCCCCCATATACCATATGTGGGGGAGTGTGTGTATGAGAGAGATATTTCAAAACCATAATGAGATTATACTATATATACCATTTGGTAACTTACAGTCAAGATTTTTACCCTTTCCTTTCGGTAAAAATTCATGTCGCCTAATCCCAAATCATAGTCACATTTTCTCAAGAAGAGCCAAAAACTTCCTTTAGCTGTTTTGCCCTAATGAGTTATCCAATCCAGAACCTTGCCTGGCATCTCTAGTGGTTTATATTTCTTAAATTTCTAAATTTAGCAAAGTACCCATCCCAGTATTAAATCACATGGGCTTGCTTTTTAAACCCCCAAGGATTTTTAAAGTTTCAAAACTACAGAAAATACAATAAATGAACATACACACTTGACCTAATTCACCACTGTTATTTTTTACCACTTCCTCCCGCCGCCTCTTTCTCTTCCGCCCCCCACTCCCTCCGTCTGTCTCCTTAAACTGTTTGGGAATTACTTGCGGACAACTCACTTGTGTTTTTGTTTGATTTCTGTCCTTTGTGACATTGACATTTCAGGCCAGGCTAGGCTAGTTGCTTCACAGAATGGCCTTCAGTGTGGTCTTTTCTGATTGTTTCCTCGCAATTACATTCTGGTCCACATTTTTTACTGTAATACTGTTGAGGTGATTCATTGGCCTCAGTGCTTCACATCAGGAGGCTTGATGAAAATCTTATTCCATTATTGGGCATGTTCAGTTTGATCGTTGGTGAAGGCACTGCCGGCCAGTTTTCTCCATGGTAAAGAGAGTTTTCCCTTTTGAAATAAAGTAGTCTGTGTGTTGATACTCTAAAACCAGGTTTCCTTACGACCTTACTTTCATCCAGTGGTTTTAGCATTTTCTGATCTTTGAATAGTTACCACAATGGTGTTTGTAAAACAGAGTGATTTTCTGAATGTGATGACAAACAGCCAGCTAGGCTTTGCCAAGGAAGCTGAATTAACTAAAACATGGCATTCCCCTCCCCAAATAACTGCAAAAGAAAGTCTACTGTATTTTTTCATTTACATGAATCGTACTCAATGAAGGACACAAATTCATGTTAGAGACATTTTCAAGGCTGAACAGCTGCTTACCAAGGTCTGGAAAGAGCTTAGATAACTGCCTATAGGAGACAATGATGTTTATTAACTCTTGTCCTTAGTAAGTAATAATGTGAATCATTTTTTTGTTGTTGATGGATCATTGATATACAATCTTACAGTAATATGTAAATCTTGATGGAGTAGAATTCTAAAATTCTAAAGAGAATGACTCTAAGGATCAAAGTGGAAGTTATATCTAAATTTATTGATTGGCATGTTCTTCATAGAGAAGTACACTTATTTTTTCAGTATTACTCTTGATTCATGGATTCTTTTTTTATTCAGCGTCTTGTAACCATTCACTGTCAGTATTGTTTTTTTTATGATTCTAACTTTGGCCAGTGGGAGCCCATCAAGCTGGCCCTTGTGTCCTTTTGATATGTCCCTTCTGCTTGTGAGCACCTCCTTTCTATCGTGATGACATGTTCCTTGTACTTTCCCTGACATAGCATGCAATTTCCCCAAGGAGCTCTGATCCCTTTATGGGGCTTGTTGAAGAGACATTATCACAGAGAAAGCCCCTCCATTAGATTTGTCTAGGTACTTATTTGTGTGTTGTTACTCAGCAAATTTATCTAACCCTGTATTTCCTATAAAGTGGAAGTTACATCTAAAACTTGATGGATCCTAGATAATGGGTGTGATGTGTGATTCCATTTTGTATTGCCTTAGAACATACACCATCTGGTCGACTCACTCTTAGTGATGCTATAGCAAGTTATCTATAACTAATTTTTTGATGAGTTTGTAAACTTTTCCTTTACAGGGAATAGAACTATCTGAGCAGTACCTTTGAACCTGACTTTTTAAAGGTCATTTAAAAGAAGTAGATGCTGCCTAATCTATGAGGATTTACAAATACTGATAAGATCCTTACCCTATCCTGTAATTGCCTGACACGGAAAAGATTAATGGGTCATGTTTTTAAAATAATTGATTTGATTGATTTGTAATCATCTTCTTTCTTCCCCTCTCCCATTCCTGTGTTTCTGCTAATAGTTGGACAAAGAGAGTCCGACGATGTGAACCAAAGAGACTCAGGTAAAGAAATGACTGCTAACTCAGCGCTTGTTCAAGACATCGTGAAGGACGGGCAGGACGAAATGCCTGAAATAACTGAACAGATTCCGTCTTCAGAAAGCAACGTAGAGGAGCTTACACAGCCTACTGAGTCCCAGACTAATGATGTTGGATTTAAGAAGGTGTTCAAGTTTGTTGGCTTTAAATTCACTGTGAAAAAGGATAAGAGCGAGAAGTCTGATGCCGTCCAGCTGCTCACTGTCAAAAAAGATGAAGGTGAAGGAGCAGGAGGGTCCGATGGGGCTGGTGACCACCAGGAGCCCAGCCAGGAGTGTGAAGAAGTGGCACCTAAAGAGAGTGAATTTAAACAATCTACAGAGAAACCTGAAGAGACTTTGAAACTTGAGCAGTGCAACACAGACATTTCTCTTCAAGCTGAGCGCAGTCAAACAGAGGAAGGTAAAGAAGAAGGGGAAGAAACACAAGAAAAAGAACCAACCAAAGCTCCGGACTCTCCAGCCAGTCCAGTGGCCAGTGAAACAGCGTCACCCTTCAAAAAATTCTTCACCCAAGGTTGGGCTGGCTGGCGGAAGAAGACCAGTTTCAGGAAGCCCAAGGAGGATGAGCTGGAGGCTTCGGAGAAGATGAAAGAACAAGAGCCGGAAAAAGTAGACACGGAAGAAAATGAAAAGCCAGAAGAGGCCCCTGAGAAACTGGCTGCTCCCGAACAACCACACCCACAGGTCACTGAAAGCGCCAGCGATGCCCGATTATCCGCTGAATATGAGAAAGTGGAGCTGCCCTCTGAAGACCAAGGGCAGGGATCTCCTGAAGAGAAAACTGCCCCTTTAGCCACAGAAGTATTTGATGAGAAAGTAGAGATTGTTGCAGAAGTTCACGTTAGCCCCATAGAGAAGGAAACAGAGGAGCAGAAGGCCGAGGGAGAAGTAGTAGAGGCCTCGCCACCTGAGAAACCAGTAGAAACCAGTGCTGATCTCCAGAAAGCTGACGCTGCTGAGGAGCTGGTGAAGACCATAGCCATGCATGCCCCCGGGGAGGACCACACTGAGCCAGCGGACCCGTGTCCCAGCGAGAAGGCCCCGTGCGCGCTTCCCGAAGGCGTGGTCAGTGAGGTGGAAATGCTGTCCTCACCAGAGCGAATTAAGGTGCAGGGAAGCCCTTTGAAGAAACTTTTTACCAGCACTGGCTTAAAAAAGCTTTCTGGAAAGAAACAGAAAGGGAAAAGAGGAGGAGGAGGCGATGAAGAGTCGGGGGAGCAGCCGGCTGTGGCAGAATCTCCAGATAGCGCAGATGAGCAGAAGGGCGAGAGCTCTGCCTCGTCTCCCGAGGAGCCCGAGGACACAGCGTGTCTGGAGAAGGGCACAGCCGAGGCGCAGCAGGATGGGGAGGGCGAAGAAGGAACCACTTCCGACGGGGAGAAAAAGAGGGAAGGTGTCACTCCCTGGGCATCTTTCAAAAAGATGGTGACGCCCAAGAAACGTGTTAGGAGGCTTTCTGAAAGTGATAAAGAAGACGAGTTGGAAAAGGTAAAGAGTGCCACCATGTCCTCCACGGAGAGCGCGGCCTCTGAAATACAGGAGGACATGAAAGGAAACGGGGAGGAGCAGAAGCCGGAGGAACCGAAGCGCAAGGTTGACACCTCAGTCTCGTGGGAAGCTCTGATCTGTGTGGGCTCATCCAAGAAGAGAGCCAGGAAAGGGTCGTCTTCCGACGAGGAAGGGGGACCGAAAACAGTGGGAGGAGACAGTCCCAGACCAGACGAAGCGGGAAAAGACAAAGAAACGGGACCAGAGGCTGTCCCTGCCGGCTCCCAAGAGCAGGATCTGGGGCCAGGGAGCTCCTCCCCCGAGCAAGCTGGAAGCCCCTCTGAGGGAGAGGGTGTCTCCACCTGGGAGTCATTTAAAAGATTAGTCACTGCAAGAAAAAAGTCCAAGTCAAAACTGGAAGAGAAAAACGAAGACTCTGTAACTGGGCCTGGCGTCGAACACTCGGCTTCCGATGCTGAGCCCGGGAAAGAAGAGTCTTGGGTTTCGATTAAGAAATTTATTCCTGGACGAAGAAAGAAAAGGTCAGATGGGAAACAAGAACAAGCCACTGCTGAAGATACAGGACCAGTGGAAGGCCACGAAGAGGACTCCGATGTCCCAGCTGTGGTGCCTCTGTCTGAGTATGATGCTGTAGAAAGGGAGAAGATCGAAGCACAGCAAGCCCAGAAGAGTGAGGAGAAGCCTGAGCCCTCAGTCACTGTCCAGGTGTCCGAAGAGCTCAATAAGAGTCTGGTTCACGCAGTGACCGTGGCCCTCGTTGATGGGACGAGGGCAGTCACCAATATCGAAGAACGGTCACCTTCTTGGATCTCAGCTTCAGTGACAGGACCTCTCGAACAAGTAGAAGATGAAGCCAAACCGCTCACTGAGGAGGGAATAGAAAGAGAAGTCCTGGCAGATGAAGCTCCTGTGGTGACCAAAGCTCTGCCGGAGCACCACGAAGCCAGTGATGACACGCTCGTCAGTGAGGTGGAACTCACTTCTGAAGCCGTGACAGCTGCAGACGCCACCGAGGCATCTGCTGCTGAAGAGACTGCCGACATGGTTTCAGCTGTCTCCCAGTTAACTGATTCCCCAAACACCACCGAGGAAGCCACCCCAGTTCAGGAGGTAGAAGGCTGTGTGCCAGACATAGAAGACCAAGAGAGACGAACCCAAGAGGTCCTGGAGGCGGTTGCAGAAAAGGTCAGAGGAGAATCACAGCTGCCTGACACCAGAGGGCCAGGAGACACAATTCAAACCATGCAGGAAGAAGGGCCAGAAATGCCAGTCAAGGTGGAGGAACCACAGGATTCGCAAACGGTAGATGGGAAGAAAGAGGTGGATGTAGTGTTGAAAGTCCATGGGCAAGAAACTAAAACTGAGACTTTGATACGAGAGAAGGTGCTTGTACAGGCCACCCCAGAAAGTGTTGTGAAAGGTCTTCAAGGTGCAGAGACCGTAGAGTCCAGTGAACATAGAACCACCTGTCAAGCTGAAACCTTGGTTGAGGTAAAATCAGAGATTATACTGGAACAGGCTGCAGCTCCTGACACTGCTGAAACCCCTACAGACAGTGAGACCAATGGAAGCACCCCAGTAGCTGACCATGAAGCCCTAAATATAACACAGCAAGACAAGAGCATGGAAATCCATGAAGATAATGAGGTCACCTCTGGTACACAGCCTCAGGTCCCAGAAGCACAGGTAGTTCCCATAATGAAAGAGATGCCTCCAGCACCTTCCAGTTTTGAATCCCAGGAAGAAAGTGAAGAATATTCAAAAATGGAAGAGGTTCCAGATCATACAGATAAAGAGGTATCAGTGGAAGCCATACCCATTCTTTCAAAGACTCAAGAAATGGTCCAATTTGCTGATAAGGAGACCACAGATGTGGTGCTCGATGGAGGCCTGGAGGTGTCTGTGGACAGAGAAACAACAGTCAGTCAGAAAAAGACACCTGAAGTTGCCCTTAAAGATGACATTACTGAGGAAGCTGAATTTCCAAAGAATGATAATATTGAACTCCAGAGTCATGCTCAATCCCTTCCAACCGGGGTGGAGAGAGAGATGGTAGTTCAAGTAGTAAGGGAAGAAATGGAAGCAAAGCCAACCCAAATGAGTGAAGAGAAACTGGAGCAAAAACCGGCTGTTGCTGTGTCTGAGGAGCTCAGTAAGCAACTGGTGCAGACAGTCAGTGTGACTGTCATAGATGGGGAAAAGGAGGTTATCAGTTTTGAAGAAGGTTCTCCTCCGCCAGTGGAAGAGGAAGTGGTATGCACAGAAACTCATGTTCAAAGCTCTGAGGCATCACTAACGCTAACAGCTGCCTCAGTGGAGGAGGTCTTCAGAGAAACCGTCGGGATTGTAGAAACAGCTGAACCTTTGGAGTCTGCAGATGCACACTTAGTACTGGAAGAAAAATCTGAAAAAGATGAAGGCACTTCTGCTCCAACAGGAGAAGATGCAGTGCCCACAGGGGCTGAATCTCAGGCAGAATCGACACCAGTAGCAGTACCTGCTCCACCTGGAAAAGGCATGAGTGCCGACCTGGAAGGAGAGAAAAGCACGTTGCAGAACTGGAGGTCAGGTGGAGACGATGCGCAGGTTTGTGGTCAGGAAGGCAAAGTGAGCAAAACGGGAAAGGAAGATATAAAGGCAGAAAGTGAGATTCTGAATCTTGAGACTGAGAGCAGTAAACTCGTACAAAATGTAATTCAGACAGTTGTTGACCAGTTAGAAAGTACAGAAGAAGCAGCACCTGATTTCCAGACACAGGCTCAGCTGATAAAAGTTGATCACCAGGAAGGTGGACAGAAAATGGAAGAACGTGAACTTCCAGCCTCTGCCCAGGGCGAAGAACAGACCCCCACAGCCGAAGAGGAGTCAGTACCGACCCCTCCAAAACAAGCACCTGAGGTTTCCAAAGGTGGGGGTGACGCTTCAGAAGAGACCACAACCGAGAAGGTAGAAAGTCCCAGTGTGGATGAGCAGCAGCTTGAAGAGGTAGTTCTCCCCCCGGAGGCAAAGAACGAGGCAACTGGAACAGAGCGTGTGCTGGAAGCCAACAAAGGTGCTGGGTTAGGAGAAAGAATAGAGGCATCGCTCTCTGAATCCCCAGAAGGTGAGAGAAGTGATGCTCTGGATGCCCCCGGGGGCCACAGCACGGCCCCAGAAGATGCAGAGGCCTCGGGAGGCCTGACCAAAGAGTCCCTGGATGCAAATGGACCAAAACTGAAAGAGGAGGACGGCCAGGAAGGACAACTTCAGGAAGGGAAAGTGCATCATGAGTCAGGAAAAGAGCTCACAACTCAGACGCAGGAGGAGACGCAGAAACCGGAGAGGGAAGCGGCAACCTCGGCCCTTGGAGAGCCCTAAAGTGTCTGGTAAGTGAGCCCGCTCTTCTGAAATACTTTCTTCCTCTGTCAGGCCATTTGGTGATGGATTCTTTATAAAGGAAGCAGGCATTCAAATAGGATTTTATGCAGAGCTTTCAATTGGGGAAATAATTACTGACTAGGAGGGCTAGGTTAGTTTGATTCCCCTCCCCCCCCATATTGAAATACCTTTCAGTCTTATTGGTGTGAAAATAATGATTTCATTTTACTCCAGTGTGACTGTTTTTTGAAGAAAATAAAGGGGTGTGTGTGTCTGTGTGTGCACAAGTGTACATTTGCGTGTTTGGCCCAAAGGTGTAAGAAATATGTTTCTCTTAGTACCATACCAACTAGTTTACTGAATTTTTTTTTTTTTTTTTGTAACTTGAAGTCTAAAGTCTATCCTAATGTTTGAAATGTAGTTTATAGCTCTCTAGGGAGAAAAAAAAAAAGATATTTCCCAGCATCAGTAGCAAGCATTTAAAAATTTTTCAGTGCACATGGTGAGCTTGAGGGGCAAGGGTAAGAGACCTGCAGCCACTGCCCTGGGCAGCACAGCGGACTGGTCGCAGACCCTCCCTGTCTTTCTGACAGAGTTCAGCTGTGGCATCAGGGTTATCAGTTGCTGCCACTCACTTTAACCAGCCTCTCTTTTTACATAAATGAGGGAGGACAGGAGATTTTGTTTACTTTTGGTTCTTCCTTCTCCTACAGCTAAACCCATATATTTGCCAGACCAGAATGTGAAGACAAGGAGTGGAAGGAACAGACAGCTGCGGAGGCACAGCCCAGTTTTCAGACTCGAAGGGAACAGGCCCATCAGCTGGTGTCATCTCTAGTGACCCCCTGACAATCCTGAGGCGTCATCAGGAGCTACAGCTAATGGGGCCTCCTTTCGCGGCCACCCTATCATTTTCCCTTGGTACCACGTAATGTCTCTGATTGGAGATACTTAAAGTTTTAATCTGGAACTGGAGTTGGCAATTTGCCGGTTCTACTTCTCAAACTGGAGTATCATTCTTTATGTATTTATATGTATGTTTTAAGTAACCCTCCTGTATCTATTGTATATTTTTTCTTAATGTTTAAGAACATGTGAAGTATAGTCCACTCCTCTTGTATATCCCATACTTTGTGACCGGGGCATGCAGCCATGGTCAAGCCTGGGGAAGGAAGCTTTATGCCTCAGTTAAAACCTGTGAAATCAGCTTTCTAGAAATAACATTCCTGATCAGAAGCTACAATTCTTAATTTAAAATTCACTGAGGATTAGGTCTGTGTTTACTGTTAGTTTGAAATTGGTCACTTCCCTATTACACACAGTGTGCTAAAAATAAACTTTTTTTTGTGGGGGGGAGGGAAACATACGGAATGTTCCATTTTTACTGTGAAATTTTTCTTTCTAGCCCAGTGGAGGTTGGAAGGAAGTTTTTTTCAGTAACTGATTCACTTGAAGTCTTTCCCCCGGAATTGGTATGCTTGGAGATGAGTGTGCTTAAATCCTGAGGCAAAGTAGTGAAATGTTTTTCATCTTACCAAGAAAAGAAAAGACTGTTTTAAGTTTTTGATTCTACTCTTATATGCAGGACCACATCCACATACAGCATGAGAAAAGTAGGTTCTTTACAAAAGGTATTTTGGTAGCTACTGGCCTGTGCCTGTGCCATATTTGTGCCCACTCTTTAAAGAACAATGTCGCATTATGTTCATTTGGAAAAAACTGTGATTTGACAACTGATTTAAATAAAATATTTGCTTCACTTAGATTTGCTGGTTTTATTAGATACTAGGAAGCCTGGGACATGTTTACTGAGTCCTAAAAGCAGATAAGCTAGCGCTTTCTAATGTAGATACTATAGGATGTCACCGCTTTCCCCTGGTTATGGTTTTGAGTTGATGTTAGAGGAAGTCCCAGCAGAGGCTTCTGCTGAAATAAACCTGGAGTTTTTTCCACCTGACGGTACTGATACAATGCTACCATCTTGTGGTGTCTTCCTGAAAAGGTCAATTTTCGGTGTTAGTATTTCTGGTTTTAAACAATGACAAACAGCTCTAGAAAGAAATGTTAAGACTTAATAGCAAAAATGCCTTGCCTAACAGATGGTCATGGAGGTTTCTCTTAAATGTCAGAATGCTAGTTGATTCATTCCAATATGTAAAGGACTTTATCACACAATTGCCATGCAAAGAAAAGCCACCTGTGTACCCTAAAATTCCATTTCTTCATATGTAGAACTGTCCTGACATATATACTGCTTGAATTTCATTCAAATTCAGTGCTCCAGTTTGAGAACTTAAGTTTTGACTACCAGTTAATGATTTTAAAGCATAACATTCTCGAAAGACTACTTTTAGCCGAAAGAAAATGAGCTGTTGAAACTGAAAAGTAGTTTCTCTTATATGAACAGACCTGACTACAATATGAAATCAGCTATATTAGAAAGATACTCAACACAATGGCCTTGACCTTGTAGTCAGGAAACATTTGATATCCTTTTAGGAGTTATACTCAGATAAAATAGCCACCTGTGCTTAATTATTAAACTTTAAAATGTGTAAATTAAAAGAAAAACCCTCTGACCCAAATATCTTTCTTCTGCCAATTTGAGACTTAAAAATCCAAGTGCTGGCATCAGTTTCTGAAGATTAACCAAACAATATTGGAGGTGACAGCAATTTGTCAGGAGTTGCTGATAGTTCTGAATATTGACTGACTGCCTCTCTATGGCAGGAAGGAAATGTACTGTCTGCAACATTAAAGGTTTGTGTAGTTAGTACAAAACAGATTTTGTTGGTCTGATGTCTGTCCTGCCACTGCATTGCATTTGTGTCTGGTCTTCTCTTACCACATGTGGCCAGGTCGTCCATGCGGTTTTCCAGTGGTAGTTACTCCATGGCTCTGCTTTTGGTCCTAATACCTGGAAATGCCTTGGAGTCCTTCTGTATAAGCTCTATGTCTATGTCTGTTAAGCATCATAGTTTTATTAAAGAGAAATACTGTATTAACAGTAGCATGAAATATAGTTCTGTGTCTTAATTCTAAAGCTGCTGTTAATTTGTTAATTAAATGTAAACTGCAGAAGTTGGAGCAAGTGCCTAAATTTTGCTATTTTTGGCATTACTACGGAGCCATGTACATTAGGAAGCAATGCAAATCTTGTAAACTCTCAACATTTACTGTGATTGAGGAATACAAACTGTTCCCCTCAGGTTATCCTGCTAATGGTACAGGAATTACCTCTCTCTGTTCATCGATAATACTTGGTTGCAGTATTTTCCTTTGATGTTTGCAGCTACAGATAGTCAAGGGCTGGAAGTTTTAGCTTTCAGTGTCAGGTTCAAGTAGCAGTTTCTTATTAATCTGAGACAATATTGGATTCCCAGTTTGTTTGGGGGCAAATTTTCATTTATCTAAATAAAATGCAACCTATCTAAATGCCATGGATTTTCTTTCTGTAATTGCACCTTAATTCACTTCTTTTGCTTTTCTCTCTACTGTTTTGATACTTACCACACATTTAACTTCTGATTTTAACTACTCAGCCATCCTTTGTGACACTATCTGCAGAGCATCATGGGAGTTTGGAATGTATGTAGGATTATGTGTGAATGCACAAAAACCTTTTTCAGTGATTCTTAACCTTTTGGCTTCAGGGGCGCCTTTAATTAGGATGTCATTAAACCTCTGGCTAGCATCCAACGTCCCCAAACAGATTTTTATGTACACTTTTTGGGTATTCGTGCAGACCTCTGAAATCCCAACCAATAACTAGAACCAGAGTTAAAACTCCTTGTCCAACATACAAAAAGGAAATGGACACAAAAGAGGATTCCCAGGTTGTAAGAAGTTGGAACCTGAACACACAACCAATAACTTCAAGTCTATGTGACTATTGCTATTGTGATTCTGGAAATGGGTTTGCTGGATACTCTGGCACAATTCTTGTGCAAATGCAAATTTCTTCTCACCACCAAATTCCTTACCATCTCCAGCCTATATCACTGGAGTTAGGAAAATGATCTGGGCTCTATTTTTAACATGAGAAAACAGAGATGTAGATCACCAGCTTTTAAGTGATGACAGGTTTTTGCTAAGGTGGCCAGGACTTGGGGATGGTGTGAAGTTTATTAGGTCTTTTTTTTTTTTGATGCTGTACAGCTTAGAAATCAACCTAGTTTTCAATATCTAAATATAACAGGTATTGTTCTGCAGGTAAGAGTGAGTTAATCTCATAATTTTGCTTTCTGACATTAACATTCTTAACACGAGCGTCACATCCAGCCTCACGGGAGAGGCTTCACTGTAACACATTTGGAGACAAGAGGCAGAGTAACATTACCTCAGTGATGAAATCAGGACCCAAGGTGTTATTTCCCACAACAGGATATTGAATACTAAATAGTCAAGAGCTCTAAGTCACCCTGTACTTTTCCTTCTGTTTGTTCTAGTAAAGCCCAAGTAACTTGGTGTAATTAACAAGCACAGAGGCAATACTACAAATCAGGCTAATTTAAAAACTGCTTTGTGCTCTGTTCTCCCTGTTAGCCTCAGCTAATAGCTAATTCTTGGAAAGGCAGGTGGGGTTGCATCTAGAACTTGAAACCTGAACACAATTAGGGTGTTTTTTTGAAAGACTAAAGAAACACAAGTGCAGGGTTGGTTGTAGGGGCCATTTTAAGGAGCGGGATTTGTTCTAAGAAGTCATTAAAATAGTTTTGCAATGATGGGATGTGATCCTTTGCACATTAGTGGTTCCTGAGGCATTGTTGGAGGCTGTGACACGGTCCCATGCCCCTTCTCTGGAGAGTTTTTGGTTATCACAGTGGCAAGGGTGTTAGGGAGTTTAACACACAGGGGCCACAGGTGGTTGTCATCCTACAAGGCCTAGGGCAGCCCTTTATAAGAACTTTCCACCACCTGAAATGTAATGCATCTGGAGAATTGCCTCTAGCTTCTAGAGAATCAAAGCCCAGGTTGGGAGGAGACTGACTAATGTGATAATAGTCCAGGCAAGCGTGGATAATGTCCTGTATATATAGTGTCAGGTTGGCTGGGAGCTCTGCAAGAGATAGAGAAGAGAAATAATCAACAGGGTGTAATACTTGATTATTTGTCCGGGAAACAGAGGGGTATAGAATGAAGTTTCTGGATTTCCAGGGTGGATATGGAGTCACATACTGACATGGTCAGGTGTGGGTAGATACTACCAGTTTTGGAAATGTTCAATTTGAGAGGTCTTGGCCATCCAAGGGAAGATGCAGAAAGGGCAGCGGGACTTGTGGGTCTCTAAAACATAACAGAGTTCAGAACAGGCTCTTCTGTCCTCTCCATGTTCTTGGTGACACAGAGGGAAAATGACCTACGGTCCTTGCAACATTTCTTAAAATCTCCAGCACTGACTTGGGCTGGGTGACTAAGAACGATAAGACTTTCAAGTTCCTGCAGTTTACTCATTTTAGACATTGTTGGGGAGGAATAATTTTCCTCTACCCTTCTTCTGTCTGGCCTAAGAATCAAACTGACATGAGACAGGTTAACAGGAGGAAAAAACAAAGTCGTAATCTGTATGGACTGCGGCCCTGTAATGAAACTGAGACCCAAAGAAATGACCAAGGCGGGCAAAGAGACAATAAATCTGTGAGGAATTGACAAAGAAAAACTTAGGTTTGGGAGCTTCAATTAGTAAGGAATTCCAAACAGCACTTGGGCTGGGGTAGTAAATTAGTAAAAAGTAACAAGGTTTATTTATGCAGCCTTCTCTGCTCTGAATTCCCCTGCTAAACCCATATATTTGCCAGACCAGAATGTGAAGACAAGGAGTGGAAGGAACAGACAGCTGCGGAGGCACAGCCCAGTTTTCAGACTCGAAGGGAACAGGCCCATCAGCTGGTGTCATCTCTAGTGACCCCCTGACAATCCTGAGGCGTCATCAGGAGCTACAGCTAATGGGGCCTCCTTTCGCGGCCACCCTATCATTTTCCCTTGGTACCACGTAATGTCTCTGATTGGAGATACTTAAAGTTTTAATCTGGAACTGGAGTTGGCAATTTGCCGGTTCTACTTCTCAAACTGGAGTATCATTCTTTATGTATTTATATGTATGTTTTAAGTAACCCTCCTGTATCTATTGTATATTTTTTCTTAATGTTTAAGAACATGTGAAGTATAGTCCACTCCTCTTGTATATCCCATACTTTGTGACCGGGGCATGCAGCCATGGTCAAGCCTGGGGAAGGAAGCTTTATGCCTCAGTTAAAACCTGTGAAATCAGCTTTCTAGAAATAACATTCCTGATCAGAAGCTACAATTCTTAATTTAAAATTCACTGAGGATTAGGTCTGTGTTTACTGTTAGTTTGAAATTGGTCACTTCCCTATTACACACAGTGTGCTAAAAATAAACTTTTTTTTGTGGGGGGGAGGGAAACATACGGAATGTTCCATTTTTACTGTGAAATTTTTCTTTCTAGCCCAGTGGAGGTTGGAAGGAAGTTTTTTTCAGTAACTGATTCACTTGAAGTCTTTCCCCCGGAATTGGTATGCTTGGAGATGAGTGTGCTTAAATCCTGAGGCAAAGTAGTGAAATGTTTTTCATCTTACCAAGAAAAGAAAAGACTGTTTTAAGTTTTTGATTCTACTCTTATATGCAGGACCACATCCACATACAGCATGAGAAAAGTAGGTTCTTTACAAAAGGTATTTTGGTAGCTACTGGCCTGTGCCTGTGCCATATTTGTGCCCACTCTTTAAAGAACAATGTCGCA